CGCTCTTCGCACCTTCCAACACTGCACACACGTGCTCTCCGCCTTCCGCAGCCCCCTCCGCCCCGCCGGCCGACCGCAGCTGTACACCGCACGGGCGCGCCTGTGGACGTCGGGCAACACGTTCATGGTGCATGCGACGAGCCTGTTTCCGGAGGGCTATGGGCAGGACGTGATGCCGTTCGAGATGGGTGCATGTGGGGCATGCTGCCGACGCTCGAGTTCGTGCACGGGGCTGAGCGGGTTGGTTCGTGGTAGGTCACGCGCAGGGACGGGCGCACAGGCGGGAGGCGGCAGGGGTGTGGTTCGAGAGGGTGGAGCGGTGTTACCACCCTGAGTCGAATAACAGTTACACACGGCAGAGGGAGTGTGGTCCGAAATTGTGGAATGTAGGGTGGGAGCTGGAGGCGCAGCTGGCTATGGGACCAACGATTCAGATTCTTTGTCCCGTGGCCGCCGGGACAGCCTGAGGAGGAAGGTGAGGACGATGAGAAATGCTGAAACGAGGGGGTCTGTTGGGAATGAGTACATGTCGGCTGCGAGATCTGCAAGGTCCAGCTAGTGCCTGGACAGTATGCTAAGAAAATGAAAGTGCCAGGTGTCAGTGTGCCGGTGCTGTCTCTCCGGTGCTTCATATAGGTCGAGAAGGGCATCTGAAGAAGCGCTAGGCTTCCTGGAATTGCTGGTGAGTATACAAATTCGAAGTCTAGGGGGCCGCTCAAGAAGCACTGGCATCACAGTGAATGGGATTACCCTCTTCATATGCACAGAGGTGAAGGTAAAGTTTAAAGGACAGGTTGCATGATGAGTTGACTTGGACAACTCTATGGAGGAAGAATGTCATATTTTGCCGAGATGATAAGGAAAGGGCAAAGACAGGATGTCAGAATACCATGAAGTCCTCCTAGAACATAGAAATCAATGTTATAGACCCATTCACTCTAATAACATGAGTGCAACAAGTAGAAAATACTAACCGGGAATAAACGACCGTGGGAACGCCCGGCTCCCCTCTTCCGAGTGATCGGAGAAGGAACCGAGGCTCTCTAATCTAATCTATGACGTCAGACGCGCTGATCGACTTGGCAGCGCTTGGCGATTCCGTTCAACGTTCCGTGGCCGTTCTCCTTCCTTCCATCTCCAGCTGCGATCCCATGGCATCTCCGAGCCTCGACGCGCACTATTTCTCTGCTTTTCGGTGATTTTCTAGAAGTGATGTGCTTACGGTCGGATTGTGGATACTGTACCCGAGTGGGAGCACATGCGGCCGAGTACGTTTTGGCTCTCCACGGACAATTTTCCAGCGCGCACGTCTGCCGACCCGCGCATACTCCAAATACTTACGGATCATGGAGCTAGATACGAGCGTGCGAGGCATATTATGCATGCAACGTGGACTGTTCCGTGTATGACGCGAGCACTGTAGTTAGAAATGAAAGGGGTCTAGAGGACGGGGTAATCTAGGCAAGGCACAGGACGTCATGGGAGGGAGTTGCCAAAGCGGGCGCGATAATCAGCGATCAGGCGTGGACAAGCGCGTCGCCCATATCCTCTTCCGTGCGCTCTCCGTCCTCGACCTCTCCTCCGCCCGCCATGCCGCCCCTGCCCTCCGCCCCGCTCCCCGCATCCCCCGCGCCCCCCGACGCCCCGTCCCCCGCCCCCGCACGCGCCTCCTCCTCCACCCCCGCCCCCCGCGCAAAATCAGAGGCGCCCCCGTCCCCTGCGCCCGCCCCCGCGTTCCCCCACGAGGCCAGCGTGCCCCCAGAAGAGCCGGCCCCGCCCGCCGCGCCTGCAGACGTACGCCCCCGCCGTCCCGCTCCTGCGCCGTCCTCACCGCTCTGCCCTGCAGTCACCCGATGCCGATGCCGCCGTCGATGTCGCCGGCGCCATCGACATGGAGACGTTCACGCAGATCCTCGATCTAGACGAGGACGGCAACCACGAGTTCTCGGAGGGTATGGTCACCGCCTACTTTACGCAGGCGAGCGCCACGTTCGACGAGATGGACGCTGCATGGTGCGTCTCCCGTTCCGCTCCCGCGCGGGTGCGCGCGATCCTTTGTCTGTCGCCCCGCTGACCGACCCCGTGTGCCGTGCAGCGCGGGCAAGGACCTGCCGAAGCTGTCCTCGCTCGGCCACTTCCTCAAGGGCTCCTCCGCGGCGCTCGGCGTGGCCAAGGTGCAGGCGTCGTGCGAGCAGATCCAGCACTACGGGCAGAAGCGCGACGAGCAGGCCGGCGAGGACCTCTCCGCGGACGCGGCGTTGCTGAAGATCCAGAAGACGCTCGTGCGCGTCAAGAAGGAGTACGCCGTCGCCGAGACGTGGCTGAAGGACTGGTACCAGGAGCACGCCGGCGAGGGCGAGCCCGGCACATGAGCCCGCTTGCCCGCAGAGTCGGTGTCGTGTGCGTCTCGCAGATGCAGGTCGGCCGCAGAGTCGGAGACAGAGACAGAGACGGAGACGGAGACGGAGACGGAGACAGACAGAGAAGAGACGACCCGGCACACGACACGCGCACCCTGTCGACGCACGCCCCCCGCACCGTCTCGCAGTCACAGTCCAGTTTGTATGATTATGGATGCCTTTCAAAGATCCCCCCTTCCCGTGCTATACTACTAGTATAAACTATACCATAGCTCTCTCGCTCGCTCGCTCGCCCGCTGCCGCGTTTCGTCGCCATCACCAGACCCGGGCGCCCGCGCACGCCCTGCAATACTAAAAACGACACCGTGACCAGACGGCGCACGGTGCACGCTCTCCAGGCTCCCTTTCAGCTGGTCTCGCAGACAAATACTACGACACAGCACCAGCTGAGGCTCGGGCTCGGCACGGGATCGATAACCACGGCAGTGGCAGCCACATGGATTCCATTAACGTTTGGGTGGGCTGCCGAGCGGCCGAGATCAAGAGCCGCGGACGTACGACGACTCGGACGCCCGCATATGCATGGCCGCGCTCCGCGTTCGGAATGCCCCCTTCTGTGCGCGTGCAGGTGAGCTTGCATCGATGACGTCGACGTCGCAGCACATACATACACGCGCGCGCCGAGTGGCTTTGTTCCATATTTGATACTGCGAGCTGACGCATATGATCATCCCAGACTGGTACTCAGCTGCGGCTGCTAGTACTTCCTCCCTCTGGAGTCTGCAGCACCCCAGTCGACCGGTCTAGATCCAGCCCTCCCGTTTTCCGACCCGTGAGCATCTGGCACCAGCTGCCGTCCGAGGCGCGTATACGTATGTACGTATGCACTGTGTCCTGCCGCCCACCGCGCGCCCACCCAGCCATTCCCGCGCTGTCACGAAACGCAGCGGCGGCACCGCGCGCGCACCCCGGCGCGCTGACTGCGCATGCTGGCATGCACATTCCCGCCCAACTTCGACTGGTGGGCGTGGGTCTGGGTCGCGTGGGGTGCAGTGGGACTGGGGCTGGGACTGGAATGCACAGACCCATGCAATGGCCGCTCCACCGCAGGTCGGTCCGACCTGGCAGCGAGTACGCCGGGCAGCAGTCCTTGCCAGTGGGAGTCTGTGAGACTGTCCGTTCCACCAGACCCGAAGGCGCACATAAAAGGCATCCTGCCACCGTGCGCGAAACGCCGACACGCAGCATATGATTGCGTCAAGGTACACACTTATGTATGCACATGCACCGTGCCGCATATATGCAAGGAATGCACCGCGCCATCGCACGCAAGCGTCTGGCCGGTGGCCAGTCTGGTCGCGGGGTATGGCAGCCTCGACGTCGACGTCCGAATCCGACGCGCGGAAACGCTTGTTCGCCTGCCTGTGTACCACTCGACCGGTTTGCTTCTTCTTCTTCCCCTATCCACAGCAAGACACGAGGAACAAGAGAACCAGGCGGCTGACAAGACGGACCAGAGGGACCTGGAGACCCGCATCCACGGGGTTCAGAGCGCAATATATGCGTATGCCCGTGCACGAGGGGGCAGCGAACTACAGAAATGCAAAAATACGTATGCAGCGACGATATATCATTATGTATTTGCGCAACGCCGTGCTGCCGGCACCCCCCGGTGCGTTCTGACTCCGTCTATCGTGTATCACGTCTCGCCCCCCGCGAGCCTCCTCTCACGGTACTAGTCACGGCCAGGGCGTTTTGAGTTGGTGCGGTGATGGCAGTTTAGGTTTTGAACGTTATGCGTCATGAGGCGAGAGGCAGGCCTAGGCGTCCGAGTAATGAGCGCTGGGCTTCGGCCGCGGCTTTATTTTTGGTATGACTTTGCGTGAGCGAGTGCTGGAGGCTTGCATTGGGCTCGCTGTCGGACGTCGCGGTCGTGGTCGGTGGGTCGCTTGATTTGTGTATATCTGCCGTTTCGATTCATGGACGCCGGCAGCCTCCGAGTCTATATGCGTACTTGGAAATCAAGGCCGGGCATTCGATACTTATAAAGGATCCTCCGAGTCGAGTTAGACAGACAACTCCATGGACGGTTATTTCCGGCATACATGGTGTAGCGGCTCGGTTTTCGGACGGATCGTGAGGGATAGTGGCGGCCGCTGGAGGATTCCGTGGATCGTCATTTTAAAGGACCGGTGGCTTGCTCTCCCGCATAGTTTCTCCTTCGCCAGTGATTCTTGTAAGACGCATCAGCGGTCAGTGGTGCATATACTCAAGCACGTCGTCGTAATTTATCGAGATATCGATGTTGGGGGCGGTCTGAGCAGTCTAAATATTGATGTAGCTATATTACACTATGTGTCGAAAAGATGGAATTCCTTCCACGTTGAAGAAATTCGACGCATCCTCGCTCGCCACGCGTTGGCTGTATGATTTGTATTCAAAATACCGCGAAAAGGAATGACAGAACCCCACGTCCTCAGCACGGATCGAACCCACCACCCTCCATTCGCCCGCGCGGCAAAACCACGCCAGCTGCCCCCACATGACAACGACATCGAGCTCTCCCCCTTCCTAGCCCCATTCAACACCCATGCCCAATTGCAAGATACCAACAAAAAAGACGTGGTTGCATTGCATACTAGCCCACCGCGAGGGTCGAACTCGCAGCCTTCAGATTCCAAGGCAAGGGGTGTTCGACCCGCCATTAAGAGTCTGACGCTCTATCCGATTGAGCTAGGCGGGCCGTGGAGGAACGGTGCCGAGGTGGGAACAGGAGCATGAGGTAGAGATGAAGAATTTGTTTTTTTGGGAAGACTCTTTGGATAAATTTACTTGCATTGTAGAGAGCAGGATGGATGGATGGATGGAGAGTCTGAAGGAAATTCTTGAGCAACGATGAGGCTGCGATGTTGTGCAACCAGGACGTGGTTGTGAGATTAGATTAGATTAGATCGGATTGCAGGCTCGGGCGCTAACTGAGTTTAATTTTGGCGCTGTTCCCCCGCGTTCTTGAATGAAGTCGCTATATGGTCCCTCCTCCTTCCCTTTCCGAAAAAAAAAAGACGTAGATCAACAGTTTATATCACTTATTCCTTATTCTATAATTGGATTCGATATCGATTCGCTTCTGCGAAGCCTCGCCTGATCAGCTGCTGTGGCTCTTGACCGAGGTACGCACCGTCGCTACTTCACTGGCTCCTTTAGACGTCTTTGGCGCGCACCCGGGGCCTGTAGACAGAAACAGGGGTTCGTCTTACACTTCAAGACTTTCATTTTGACTTGGATTTGGTGTGATACCCGATGGAAGGACACTGCGTGTGCGACGTGGTGAGTTTCGCTGCGTCCATTTGCACAACATTGAAGACTCACCAGAGCACCATAGTAGTAGGCTGTCGAACCGAATCAATAGATGCACGTTGAATACGACCGACAGAAAGATAACCCGAAGCGCAGCTGCAATCTCCAACGAAAATTTGGCTCCATGCGACATCCTAGATCATGTACAATTATGAATCGCGTCTTCTGAATTGACCAGGTGCTGCCATACCCATGACACCCTACAATAAATAGGATCTCAGCGTGTGGGCGGGGAGAAATTGCCTTCAAGTACATCACTGTCAGGGTGTGCTAGCGCTATTGCCTACGACCAGCAGTCTTGCACTTCCATCGCACCGCTCAAGGCGCATTGAAGATGTCTCTCTCGAGTCCTTTCCTGACTTCAATTGCAATCCTCATATTCACTTTGACAATATACGCCTTCAAGTCCCGGAACACCACCCGCTATCCCCCAGGACTGCCGACTCTGCCTTTCGTCGGGAACCAGTTTTCGCTTCCCACACGTAAGCCTTGGGAAACATACCTCAGTCACTGTGGTCGAAGCAGTTGCAGAGTACGTTTAAGTTTTCGTCTTGCATACACTGGCACTGACGAACCTGAATCTCAGGCGACGTGATATCCGTATGGGCACTGGGCCAGCTCACGGTCGTGATCAACTCGAAGACGGCCGCGAAAGAGCTCCTGGAGCGCCGCTCTGCGATATACTCGGATCGGCCCACCCCAATTATGATCAAACTGTATGTGAAGTTGACATCGAAGCAAACTTATTGGGATAATTCTGAATATGGGGCCCTAGACTGGGCTGGGATTTCAACTTGGCCTGGATCCCTTATTCTGACAAATGGCGTGTGCGCCGCCGTATTTTGCATGAGAACTTCCATGCGCAGGCTGTACTTGCGTACCGGCCTCTTCAGAAGACCAAGATCCGAGGGTTTTTGAAGGGAGTGTGGAGAGATCCTGAGCAGTTCGGATGCTACATCCGAATGTGAGTCTTATATTTTAACCTGGCTGCTCCGAATACAGCTCTAACACCGTGTGTATGCATCAGTGCTGCTGGAGCTATCGCCATGTTCATCGCGTATGGACAAGGCGGAGGAGATCCCGAGGACGACAAGTTTGTTCGCGCTGCCGAGGATGCGCTGTCGATGCTCTCGTACTCGGTCTTCCCCGGCGCGACTGCTGTGAACGTGTTTCCATTCTGTACGTTGTAGCCTCTTTCATTCTGTTCCTGAGCCTTGCACTGGACTTACCATTGTGCGATATGGTGCAGTACGATACCTCCCTGGCTGGCTCCCTGGGATGGGGTTCAAACCTTTCGCGGCGCGCTGCACAGAACTAACGACAAACATGAAGAACGCCCCCTGGGACTTCGTCAAGCAGGGCATGGTAAGAGTCCATCTAGGCGAGTAAGCCGTCAACTCACGATCATTCCAGGCGGATGGCACTGCCGGTCCATCGATGGCTTCAACACTGATCAACAGGATGCAGGAGTCGCCTGTTGGGGAGGACGACGAGCAGGCCGCGAAAGATGCTTGTGCTATCACCTATGTCGGTGCGTACTAGTAACCCACTCGTTATCCATGTCACTCTGACGCTGATATACATCCTCGTCAAGCTGGTGCCGACACCGTAAGCGCACTTCGTAGCATGCTATATTCAAACCTGAATATCGACATTCCAGACCGTATCTGCCGTGTCGAGTGCTGTTCTCGCTCTCCTGCTGAACCCCAAAGTCCAACGATGTGCGCAAACCGAGATCGACAAAGTCGTTGGTCGCGATCGCCTGCCAGAGTTCGAGGACCGCCCCGCGATGCCGTATAGCGAAGCCGTCTATCGTGAGGTCTTGCGCTGGATTCTTGTCGCACCGCTGTCGGTGCCCAGGGCAGCGTTCGACGATGATACCTATGAAGGGTATTTCATACCGAAAGGTCAGCGTGGGCTCTCTTTCAACTCGTGAATGAGAACTTACAGGGACCAGGTACTCAAATTATCGCGAATACTTGGTAGGTTACAACCCAGCTTGCTCAAGCGAAATATCTAACCCAACGACTTGATGAACCAGGGCGATGATGCACAACCCGGAGGAGTACCCGGATCCCGAGGCGTTCAAACCCGAGCGCTACTTGACACCAGATGGCCGGCTGACCGACGACGACATGAAGTATGCCTTCGGCTTCGGACGACGGCAAGTCCCACGAGCTCCATCCCAATCCATACATATGTGTCTAATTGTGTTATGCTATCCAGTGTCTGTTCCGGGCTCCACCTCGCTGACAGCACCGTGTGGATGATTATTGTCTCTTTCCTTTCCGTCTTCGACATCGTCCCTGCCAAGGACAAGGACGGACACGACATTCTTGCGGAGGTCGACTGCTCGGACGGCGTTGTTAGGTGCGTAGCCAAGCTCCCTGCGAGTACAAAGCATTCTCAACGTGCCGCTTGTGCATAGCCACCCGTTCCCGTTCCAGTGCGTCTTCAGGCCGAGAGACAAGGCGGCAGAAGCTCTTCTTACCAGGCTTCGAGACACGGACTCAGAAGATTGATCCTCCACAACGTAGTTGCGTGCATATTCAAATGCCTTGTATGTTTTCATGTTCTTGTATGCTGATGTTGACTGGTTGTACCGGGTGACTCCGGATTCCATGACATGCTCCAAGCTCTTATTGCCAGTGCACCTGCTTTGCTCACGTAGGTATATCAACTGCCCAATTTGCCCTGCCTTGTGGGGTTTTACTTGATCCGACGTCCTCGTGTCGCTGAAAGAACAGCCTTGTACGTGCGCACTGTGTGGCAGTCACGGTAGACCTGGCGTTTGATGACCGCCACAAGGATCGTGTCTTTGGCTTGCGCCAGCATCGCCATGCGAAACACGCCAGTGTGACGCTGTTCCCGTCCCTGTGGATCTAGGCGGCACTCCAAGTACCCATGTCGCCACATTTAGAGAAGATTGCTTGTGGGCGCTTAAGATATCGTTGTCGCTGAAAGCAGAATAATGTGAACGTCGGTACCTCCACTCCTGGCTGTTCTTTTATGCCAACGATATTCATGGTTTCCTGCAGTGTTCACGACTGGCATTCAGTTTTTGCAGATGGTGCAGGTCCGTGCGTAGCAATTACATCCTGAAAGCCGGCCTGTGTTGGCCCCCATACCAAAGAATGTTCTAGTCCTTGACGCTTTGCGCGTTGCCTCGCTTTGTCGTGCTGTCATTGTTCCTCGAAATGGGAAGGCGCACACGATATTTAAGCAGACAAACTCGTCACAAGGGGTCACAGTCGTCAACCATGGCTTCCCCCTTCTCACCCTCAAACACAGCTGCATCCAGTGAACTCGACCTGGCTAACAATTTCGTGCTGCAGGATCTCACGCAGTTCCAGCCAACTGATGGTGGGTATTATTCTGCGCAGTTACAACACGGCGAGGACAACATGCAACATGTGGCGAGTGTGGATCAGCTGGGGTACGACCTTTGTGCCATTTTGGATGGCTTGCTTGACTTTGCATATTCAGGTTCAGCGAAGAATCACTGGGAACCCCGAGCTTTATTTTGAGCAGCGGTCCTGGCACTTCGGCGGGCACCAGCTTTTCCCAGTATGCCCATCCCAGGGGCGATATTCCAAGGGCGTTCGCAGGCTTTCCTTCCGATGGCCCAACTACACAAGCTATGGTCAGGGTACCGGGTGTGCGCCGGCACATGTTCCAACACCAAGCAGGCGTGAAATTTTCAACCCGAACACTTCCAGAAGTGTCACCTCAGGCAGAGGCTTCAACAAGCCCCTGTCACCAGCTCATCCAGTGCGTCTTTCTGTAGCGTCGACGACAATTGCGCATTGACCTTTCTGTAGATCACCACATCATGGCGCCCCCCAGCCAGCTGGGCAACAGTTTGACACTGAACCGTCTTCTACCATGTCTGTTTTCAGAGCAGACATGACGCCACTTGCTATCGACAACCCCTCATATACCGTGTACCCAAAGCGGTCGCCGAGGAAGCGCAAAAGGGATTTTGACAGCCCCACTCTAGAAAATGACGCATGCGATGGACTCGTCAACACCGGTGCCGAGGTACACTGGCAAGATGGCGAAACGCCGAAGGCCAAGAAAAGGAAGTATGCCAAAGCACGGCGGGAAAGGGAGACGGATATGAGAGCACGACTCGGCTCTAAACTTCCCGATAGATTGAAATCTGAAAGGAAAACGCTAGGAGCCGGGAATGTCGTCGAAGGTGGTGAGTGTTGACTGGTCTCGAGTCATTGCCTACATCCGAATTCGATTGCTACTTCACTGATTGCTATCTATACAGCACTGCAATACATCGAGGAATTGGAAGCCCGAGTGAGACATCTAGACGCGGAGCTTGAGCGTGAGAGGGCGCACAGGAGAATCCGTGAAAGCCGACTGTTGAGGACG